ATCTATAATCATATATTAATACATAATATATATGTTATATATGTGTAATATATCATTTGATGTTTTGATTGATTACAATAAATCAATAAAGCATTATAGATTTAATTTCTTTTTTGATGGTATATTATAATTTGGAGAAAATGGTAATAAGGACACAAAAAGACACAAAACCCCCAAATCCCCGAATTCCTCATTTGGGGAACGGGCTTTACTCGGAGATTCCCTGAATTCCCTAAATAGGCTATAGGTCGGGATTGAGGAATCCCCTTGGGCTTTTGGGCTAGGGTCGGAGACAGGGGTCCTCGACCATGACCTGCCCGTGCCCATCCCTAGAATTAATACATTGGGTCCATGACTTTTTAATTGGTAGTTGAAAAATTAATATCAAACTAAACGAAGTATTAGAAATAGACCTAGGCAGGGACCCTTCTCAATTGGGCTGGGTCTAGGCCCAATTGGGACCAATCCCAAGACTACTCATGGGTCCCAGGCCCGCTATGGGCCTAAAAAATTTATTCCCCCAATTTTTTTATTTTTATATTTAAGGGGCCAAATAAAATTATATAGAGGGGTTTATATAATTTTTAAGGGGAGATTAGTAAATTTTTAATTAATTTTAAAAATTAATTAATTAATTAATTGTTAATTATAATTAATAATTATTTATAAACGTGGGGTGTTTTAAATTTAAATTTTAAAGAGATAATTTAATTAATTAATTTTAATATAAATGTAATAATCACACATTCACACTTCACAAATAAACAATTAAATAAATTTGTTTTTATTAAATTATTCATTTACTTCGTCAACAGTATTTACATCATTCAAATTTGTGCTCCTGAAGAGTTCGAGTTGTTCGGGATCTTCAAGGTGTTGTTGTAGTCTTCTCTCTATATGAGTCCAATCCCATAAACATGTTATCACTTCAATTATCTCATTGGTTAAAGAGCATCTTCTGTCTTCAACAATCCGGGCACTCGTTGAGAATACTGACTCAAATGCAATTGTAGAAATTGGCACAGATAAAATGTGTGCTATTTGGGCTACAATGGGGAATCAACTTTGATGTTGTTTCCACCATTGAAGCACACCCATATCACGTTTCTCCTTCTTCGTCATGTAGGACATGTCCATTTGTAGGTAGTGATTCAGCTCATTTAGTCCATGTATGTACAAGCTGGAGCTATTACTTCCACCATGTTCCATATATATTCACATGCTCGATCCTTGATAGATGTCTTCATCAGGGTCCTGTTGGTCGTCTTTGTTGGACGTTCTAGTTCCAGTTCCACTTCCATTGTACCTGCTCTAATATAAAGAAAAAAAGCTTTCCAATTTTTGCTTAAAGTTAATCAAATAAGACGTATAATTATGTCCTAAATGCTAGCCTATCTTAGTAATTATACAATCAACTACGTGTAATTTAAACCTATGATCTACAACAAGGCCTAATCCATATAAGAATGAAATATCTAACCAATATTTCTCGTATTTTTTTTCTACCTTTAAAACAATTTCCATTAAGACGTCATTATATCTATATTTGGCAAAAGTTTTAGAAATTTGAAGTAAAATATCTAATGCTAAATTAATAGTAGGATAATAAATACTACTTAATGTATTATTGGAATCATAAAAAACTTTAAGAAATGAATAAAGAGGTTTGCAAACTGTCCAATCATCATAGCTGACAAGTTCCTCCGGTTGATGAAATTTGTAATTTGTCTTACGGTTGACAAAGCTTTTTCCAACATAAAGTAGGTGAAGTTCCAATAGATAGGTATCTCCGTATATAACTTCAAAGGTTGAACTAGTGGGCCCTCTTGCTTATAATATTTGACGTAGTCTTGCCATCTTTTGCTGCTACTGCCGACGGTGAATTCGATAGCTGCGCACACCTTCTCAATCTTCAAATTTATAGCTTCTAAACCCGCTTTAACAATCAAATTGATAATGTGGCAAGCACCTTTCTAGTGAAAAAAATTGCCTTCACCATGCGAATCCAATTTCTTTTCAAATAAAGAAATAGTTGTGGTGTTAACAGCTGCATTCTCTGGCGTTAGCGCTACAACTCTATCAGTTAATACATATTTTTGCAAACTTCAAGAATTGTAAAATAAATAGTGTTAGCATTATGTGCAGTATATAATGGTCTAAGACCTATCAATTTTTGTTATAAACCCCAACTATAACCTAAGTAATGTATTGTGACAATTAAAAAATCTGTTTTTGATCTACAAGCCCATATGTCTGAAGTAAATGCAATAGATATATTCCTAAAATTTTGAATTCGTTTTTAAGTTGAACATTTATTTTGTTATAAAGTTTTAGTATGTCTTTTCTACTTGTACCTCTACGAATAGAGGTATATGCCGAACAAAATGCATTTTTAATCATGTGAATAAAATAAGGATTTTCAGATAAAGAAAGGAGAGAGTCCATAGCAACTATGTATTTTGCTATTTCCTCTCGTGCTTGGAGTGCATTATATTGCCATGTTGACAAAGTTGAGGATTGTGGATTAAAATTAAGTTGAGTTTGAATTTGTTTACTAGGTTCGGTTGAAGATGAACAGGACAATTGCATTATTTGGGGGTACTTCTTCTCCAACTGAATAATATAAATAAATAAATAATAATATGTATAAATTTTAAATATAAATTGAATTGAAGAGAATATGAATGAGAATTGGATTGGAGTAGAGAAAAGAAAAAAGATTGAGAGTGGTTGTGGAAAAAATGGAGGTGTGGAGGATTATTTAAGTGTAGGTTTGGGGGAAAATGAAAAAAAAAAAAAAACTTCCCTGCGGCCAACGGTCATGTGCTGTTGTATCTTTTTTTTTTTTTTTTTTTTGTAAAATATTAAGTTAACTCTCAATATTTTTGTTTTTTCAAATTTACAATGGGTTTTTAGATATTTCCAAAGGGCTTTTGGAAAAAAAAAAAAATAGGTTTGGGCCCGAGCCTGGGATCGGTGCCAGGCCTAGCCTTGGAGGAGGCCCGATCTACGGACCGATCCCTCCTCCATGAGCCTGTCCGGTTTGAGACCAGGCCTCCTGGACCGTCCTAAGACCATTTTTTGGCTCGATCCCAAATGCCCAAGTCTAATTAGAAAATAATAGAAATTTAAATCTATACATTATAATAGCAGAAATTCAAATTTCTTTTACCAACAAAATATACCAAAGTTATGTTACCCCATAAATTTCTTTTTACTTAATTAGTTGGGTTATAGTATAGACTAGGGTGTTCAAAAAAATACAAAAACCGAACCGAACCGAAAAACCGATTAACCGAAAAAATGGTTCGGTTACCGATTCGGGAAAAAATAAAAAGCGGTTAACCGAAACCAATTTTTTGAACCGGTTTTACAAAAAAAAAAAAAATATATATATATATTATATATAAATAAAATAAATATTATATATTAAATAAAAAATAATAATATTATATATTATAATTAAATAAAAATAATAATATTTTTAATGTATTGTTAGTAGTGGTCAATCGATATATATGAATGTCTAATTTTTATTTGGATTGTATTATTTATATTTATAATTTAATTTAGGAAAAAATAAAAAAATAAGTTTTAAAAAAAAAGGGAAAACCGGTTCGGTTTCGTTTTGGAAATTTTCCCGAACAAAAACCGGTTCGGTTCAAAAAAGCGGTTAACCGGTTCGGTTAACCACTTTTGACACCCCCTAGTATAGACAGCCATTTTTCGAGTTCTATATATTGTATCATTTTACTAGAGGTCTATACTGAGATTCCTGTTTAAATAATATACTCAGGGTGAATCTATTCTTGTGTGACTTTTGTTAAGTATATACTTAACAGGACAAACGATAACAATATTTTGTAATTCATTGTCAAACTTATACCGATTTTAAGATATTTGATTTGATTATTGAAGCTCATTAATGAAAATTCTCAATATTATGCCTTGAAAATGACTCAAACCTCCACACTCTTTAGCATGAAATTTTGAGTCTCGTGTTCACCAAAAATTATTTGATATGTTAAAAATCATAGTATAAACAGCTTTAACCATATAATTTCTATATAATGTATATTCCATTGCGCCTAAATTGACCTTTTAAAGAACATAAAAACAATTGCCGTTACCGTTAGTCTGTTAAGTTTTCCAATTTTGGTCGCATATCGTTTCTCTTTTATTTTAATCAATTTGAAACAAGTAGACGAGTGCATATACTTTTTTAAAGCAATAAGGTAGTGCACTTATTATTGGGTAACTCATGTCATGTCCTATCTTATCCCAGTTACAGATCCATCAACAAAACTTTCAAATTAAAAAATCTCAACCACATAATATTTTATCAGATATCTGTTCTTCATCTGAAATGTTAGCTCACATCATTTCATTTTAGTTAATTCTAAAGTGAAGGTGTCACATCCTTCCAGTTAGGGGTGTGCAAAGTGCAAACCCAAACGAACCCGAAAACCCAAATGAACCGAATGGTTTGGGTCGGGTTTTAAGATATTAAAATGCAAAACTGAACCGAACTAAACTGAATAAAAATTAAACGAGCAGGGTTGGATTTACTCTTCAACCTGAAAAACCCAAACCAAACCATATAATAATTTTATTAAATAATTTAATAATAATATTTTGAATAAATTTATCATTAATTAACTTATTATATGTGCTTCTCATGCAATTGTTGAAGTCAATAAACTACGTTATTAAGATTCTTATCAAAATTCAATTTATTTTTAATTTGGAAAATAAATTGTATTGAAAATTATAAAATATTAACTTGAGAAAGAAAAAATACTAATTTTATTAAACTAAACCCGAACGGAACCAACCCAATTTAATTTTGGAACCCAAAAAAATTTGGATTTGGCAAAACCTGAACCAAACTGACCTACTTATAGTAACTCCAAGAGATGTATTACATAAATAAATAGGGTCCAATAATTTTGAAATCAGAAATTAAAATTAAAAAAGAAAAAAGGGTATTTCATCATCAACTAATGGATTTATTTTGAAAGGTGAATGTTGTCTCAAAATTGAAGAAACATGAGCAGTGTATATCCAGCTTTTATGTATACCATCGTTTCGTCTGTTTTTATTATACACGACAATTGTGACCAAGTTGTTTCCTTGTCCTTCACTTCAAACTTACCTGTTTAATACCTGTGGCATTGAGCATTGAGCCATGAACAAGTAATTGACTCATGAATGATTAAAATTATATAATTTATTTATATACAGGAGAAAACCAATATTCATAAAATGCTCATCTTTTATCAGTGAGCCAAGATTCTTCATCCAGTTCAAGAAACTTATTAACCCACTCCAAACCGTAGGATCCTTCAGTAGAGAAATCGAAAAATTCGTTTACATCAAAATTGACTTCCGAGTTTCCAATTCCTCTGCCATCCCCACCTTCTTCGTTAACCTCATTTATGTTGGTGGAGGTCTTTTGATGGGCAGTTTCTTGCAGAATTACTGGTTGTGGCGGTTTCTCCTTTTTATTTATTTTCTTGCTCAAATGAGAATTCCAGTAGTTCTTTATTTCATTGTCTGTTCGTCCTGGAAGTCTCCCAGCAATCAACGACCATCTGCGGAAAACCATGTGTCAGTTACATTTTCTCAGTTCTATCAACATATATAACTAGTTTTAACGTTAATGTACCTGTTGCCAAGTAATTTATGGAGTCGAAGAATCAAGTCCTCTTCTTCGTCCGAAATGTTTCCTCTCTTGATGTTGGGTCTCAAATAATTCAACCATCTTAGTCTGCAACTCTTGCCGCATCGATTTAGACCTGCAAAATCAATTCTTATCAATACTAGAATGATACATTTTCTTTCTTCGTAGTTGCAAATTAAACAAGGGTAATAAATTCAAATGTGCCAAACCTGATTTAGTAGCAACAGTTTTCCACCTCTTTGCCCCATGAATTTCAATATACTCAGCTAGTTTTCTATCTTCCTCGGCCGTCCAAGCGCCTTTGTTCATTACTTTCTTGGCGGATGCATCATTTTTGGGTGCCATATTTTAGTAGAATGGACAGAGAGTGAGAGTCTGATTGGTGTTAATTGAGAGAAAGAAAGAGGGGCAAGAAGAAAGGTTTAAAAGGATTGGAATGGAGTCCATCTATCTACCCTTCCTTCGAGGGAGGCCAAGAAAATAAGAAACTCCCAAAACCCCAACTACCAGTTTATGGTTGAAGTCTTTGTGTGAGAATGTAAAATAGAATATATTCTTTAGATCCATTTGAAAAATACTTGTGTGTTCGTTTAATCATTCATGTGATGAATTTCAGGTACAGGCTTACAAACTAGTCACTTTTCAAGTTTTCTTTTTTATTTTCTTTTAACCATTTTGACACTTTGACAATACTAAAAACAATACTGCCTTTGGATGTCTTTTGTTTCCTCTGACAATATTCCAAACATAATTTCATTGTTTATTAATTTCTTCATTCTTAGTGGTATCAATGCATTTTGACCTTTAGATTGGGAGGGCTACAAGATTAAAAAAAAAAATTATTAATACAAACCATTGTCTCTTATGTTTCATCACTGGATTTGTTGAAAACTAGTTGTTGTGGAGGCCTTATAGTTAACAGCTATTCTTTCATTACATATTATAAAATTCTCAACATGTTTTATTTGAAAATTTTTTTTTTCTAATATATATATATATTTATTTATTTATTTAAGGATAAGACAAACTCTTTGCTATGACTTTGAATGCATTGCATAAACTACTCCTGCAGCTACACGCCACGCCAGAGTTTAGCAAATCGAAAACAACGTGAAATTAATCTAATATGGCCATGGGATTTTCATAGCTTAATTGAATAATTTGTTATCTAATTTTGGTGAGAATCTATTGTCAAATACAATCTGCATAGTTCAATTGAATAATATATTATCTAGTTTTTGTAAGAATCTATTGTCAAATACAATCTGCATACATTAATCTAATTTAGGGTTAGAGAAGTAACTGAAGTATATATATATTGATAATCGGGATGTCCAAGTCAGTTGTCAGTTTGCACACATCTCAACTAATCCTCAAGGTCCGTTAAACCCTTACAAGCCTAAAAGATTAGATAAGCCCAAGGTTTGAATCTAAAAACTCAAAGAAGGGAGCAAACATACTTAACCGCTAAGTCAACCCTTAGAATTTATATACATAATTTTACTCTTTTTCTGTGATTTTCTCGATTTAACCTTTTATCAGGTAACGGTTTTTTGATGACATCTCGAGATTCGGGAATAATTTGACTATATTTAATTCAATGGGGTAAGTTGATTACAAATAAGGTGATTTTTTTCTCTTTTATTAAATATATAGAGTTATGGATTTAAATATGTAAAACAAATTCAGAAAGTTATAATTTGATTGGTTTCGTCCATAAGATTGTGAAAAAAGAAATAATTAAATTAGTATGAATACGAAGAAATAAATTTGAGTAGAATTGCAAATGTGGAAATGTGAGTGACATGGTGACCCTCGCCTTCAAACTGCCCAACCATGTGTTCTGTGCTTCCCCCATTCAACGGGAACAATTATAAACATAAACATAACCACTGTTTCTTTAATAGTGCGTTGGTTGGCAATTGGTCCTTACCAATAACCAATGTATGAACTTGCCATCCACCAGACAAACTCCACTCTCTCCTTTTATACAAATATGAGCTCAACTTTTTGTTATGTTATATCTATATACTAATACAATAGAATGGTACGGCATATGTATTCATTCCAAATTGTTAAACATCAACTTCCATTGTAATGGCTTAGTTTTTTTTAAAACATTTAAGCAAACCCAATCTTTAATGTGCAAATTGTGTTTTGAAATTGCACATTAATGTTGATATTATTAAAATAATAAAAAAAAATCATTAATCAATCCATCATGATTGCATGGACCGACGTATGATTTTGACTCCATTAAAAAAAAAACAAGTGACAAAGACAAGGGAAGGAAGGAAGGAGGGTTAACCACCAGCTCATTGGAAAGTTAGCTAGCAACCGACCAGCAAGCGCAGACCACGACTTACGTCCCACGTGCATTTCTATTTCTTTTATTTTTCCTCTTAAAATCAATACAAAAACATCCTTACAAATATTTGTCTATATAGATGCAGCCTTCACCAACCAATCACACTCATCCTACTGCCATCTTCACATGAATCTATTATTATTTATTTTTATTCTTTACATTTTTTTTATTTTTTTTTTATGTTAGGATTCCTCCCACGGATTTTCAATATATATATATATATATATAATTATTTTATGTTGTAAAGATCAATTTCATAATAATTATAACTAATTGAATTTTTTGAGCCACTTGTTTTTTGTGGAGGAAGGAGGGCAGGGCCTTCAGTATCTAGGCTCCACTCCGGTTGTTTCAAAACAGAGACTTAATTCACCAATTACATAAGTCAATATAATTGTGTATCTATTTTTATTTTTATAAAATATAACACATATTTTGATTTGTTATACATATATAAATTATATATTTTTTGAGATATAGATGTACAGAAAATAAATTGGTGGGGTATTTTTAAAAACAATATTTAAATGATTTTATAAAATCTGATTTTCATTATAAATGATGAGATGTTTGTATTTATTTATTATTATAATCAACATGAGTCTTATTAGATAGAAACCATATTTCTCTAATTAAATCAAACCATCAAATTGGAGTCGGCGTGAATGTTCTTTTAATGGTTTTATAAACAAGTCATCCTACAAATATTTAGGATTCATGATTGTTTTGACTTTTGTTAGGTTTTGAGTTTTTTTTTTTTTTTTTTTAAATATTATTTTTGTTTTATTTTAAGCTTTGATATTGATCTATAATTATTTCTTAAATATAATTAGCATATTACCTTTTTTATAAAATTATACATATAATAATAATAAAAAAACTATTTTACTTTTTTTTTTTTTTAATACATAATACAGTAAAACCTCTCTATACTCATAATGGTGAGAATAACTAATTTTATTATTATATGGAGGTTATAACTTAATAGAGATGTATTTACAAAAATTTCATAATTCATAATTCACGTTTTAATAGTATAACATTAGGATTTCAATTCATGTTTTAATAGTATTAGGGTTTCAATTTAGCGCTTCAATTGTCTACTTTTGAAACGGATAGAAAATCATGTCTTGGAACCAACAAAGATAAGTGTCATTGATAGAATTATAAATGCAGTTACTGCATGGTCAATTGATGTGAAGCCACAGATAATTGTCAATTATTTTAAGCATTGTTAAATTAGGACCCTCGATGTCGATGAATTGCAAGTTACAAATAAAGTGGATAAGGAAAATCAAAGAGTTATTGTCGAATTGAATAATCATATTTGACAACATCACTACACTAGTCGAATGGATATTAATGTCTTTATCAATCATCCAAATGAGCAACAAGTCATGTATGCTTTAACTGAAGAAGAAATCAGTGCTACAATTTGACAAGAAGAGAAGGGAAATAATCATGAGGATGATAATATGGAAATACAAAAAGTTTCGTGTTAAGAAGCTCTAAACATGCTTGAGAAACTATAAATATTTTGGAGTAATGTACCCACAACTTAAAAGATGTGGTAACAACTTTAAAACATAAATCATTGTCTCAAACAATTTTAGATAAATATTTTATTTCATCTTAAACCTTTAATGCAATATATCATATATATTTTTGTAATATACAGATAATTATTACTATGTAGAGGCAACTTTCCTTAAAACGGGAATTAGAATAACTATAATTTATTACAATATGAAGTTTATTCTTATTTATAACTATCTCGAATTGAAAATGATTTTTTTTATAATTATATAGAGTATCACTATAGAGATATTTTACTGTATTACTTCAAGAAATAGGAGGTATTTCAATTAAGTGGTTTAATTTGTCTCTCAAGCTTACTCCAGTAGTGGTGGATCCTATGAGACGCCGAACTGATGGGGCACTTTGTTATCCCTAAGCGTACATCCAAGGGGTGTAAATGTCTATTTTTCACACTTCAGGGCAGGTCCAATAATCTCCTAATATTGCATATCAAACATCCTCTTGCTTAAAAGAAATCGTTCTCTATTTCACAAAATCTTAAATTGAAATTCAAAACTTTCCATTGTTTGTAATGGAAGCTCCAAGCATGAGAAATTCAGAAGCTGCAATCTATAATTGGTAATATGTGGCATAGTGCAGTGCACGTGATCATTGATGTCTAGCTCTCATCCATCCAATCTGGACAACAAAATTGTATAGGGAGAACGACATGTTCCCACCCAAGGTTGGGCAAAACGACACTTTCTCATCCGTCAAGTTTCAGAATGATATTTTCTCAATTTTCGTCAAGTTCTATTAGTGCTTTCTATTAATATTTAACTGAAAAGACGATAAATTTATTATAAATTAAAATTTAGTTAAGTCAAAGTTTTTGTTCGATTATTTATTAGTTCAAATGTAAAGATTTTTTTTTTTTTCATATGTTTATTTAATTAATTAGAAATATTGATTTTTTATGTTAATTAGTAAAAATAAAAAGCATTATAAATTTAGTAGATTATTGAATAATATTGATAGGTATTGATGGCATTATAAATAAATAAATAAATATTAAGGTTCAATTTTAAACAATTTCATAGCATTACTCATAACTTTTTAGGTGGAGTTAACTATTTTTTTTTTTAATATTTGACTTTTTGGCTAATTAAAAATTTTAAGGGTATTTTCGTCTTTTCAATAAAATATTAACATAAAATATAACAGAACCTAACAAAGGGTGAGAAAGTGTCATTTTAAAACTTGAAGGGTGAGAAAGTGTTGTTTCGCCAAACCTTAGGTGGGAAAATATTGTTCTCCCAACTGTATAATGATATTCTGTTCTTAAAACAAGTTTTATCAACAATCTTAGTACTAGGATGACTAATTTGAGATGTCATTACCAAACTGATTTTCACTATAATCCAAAGCCTTCAAAATCATCCAATTAAGTTGATTACAAATAAGGTGATTTTTTTTCT